GGGGGCAGGGCAAAGGTGCCCCCCGGCTCTTAGCTCCCCCCTGGGTTTCCGATCACTGTCAGTGGCAGGGGGCTTCTTCCTGCTTTCCCTTTCGCCTCCCTGCATTGTGCCTACATTTGCAAATTAACCGCCATCTTGTTGGCAGTTAACTGCCAATCTTAGTTGGCAGTTAATTTGCATATAGCCCAGATTAGCCAATGAAAAGGGTAGTGTCGTACGCCAATTACTATTTTTCTCTTTTATTAGTGTAGATAGTATATTTACCATTAGACATTTAATCTTGCTTTTATTGAACTAATCTTGGACTACTCTATCTGGAAGAGCCTTGAGAAGTTTAGACAAAATAAACTTAAGACAAAGCCTAGATAGAATTTTGTCAGAAAAACTAAGGGCCATAAAATCCAGCCAGTGTCTTCATTGAACCCAGCATCTTTTGCTTATGAACCAAAGGGTGAGTAGAAATTTTCCAAAATGATGAGTGAAGATTTTGTTTGCTTTTGCATGTGCAAAAAGAATTCATGCCTAATGATTCAGCAAGAAAATTGAGCTCATTTTGTTAGAACCTGAAATTGTTAAAGGAAAGATATTCAAACATCTCTAAATTGTCTGTGTTCATGATAGATAAAAGTGGTAGTGATGGATTACTTTTTAGAATTATGTTTTTGTCCAAATGGTTGATTGTTTTTTAGGAATTAAATTGCTTTACTACATCAGTAGATAATTCCAAGTATACTGTTAAAAAAGAGGAAGGAAAGAAGTTACATTGGAAGCATGTAAAAACCTCTTTCCATATAAATTCTGATTCTGACTGGTAGGAAATAGTTTTGTAACGGGCTCTGGAGAGAATAATGAAAAAGGAAGATCTAAAGATTTTCTTTTTGAGCTTTTGTTCTAATTCAGGAGTCACTGAACTTTTTTCTGTTAAAAAATATACAGCCATGCTCCAATAAAACTTTATTTACAAAAACAGGCAGCCAGCTGGGCCCTGTTGTAATATGTGGAAACAGTTAATAAGTACATTAGAGTATGTTAGTGATAAGTGCTTTGGGGGAAAAAACTAGAGCAGAGTAATCAAATAGGTTGTATAGTGAGGTGTATGTTGGCAGCGTGGGCGGGCCTCACTGAGAACAAGAAGAAGAAGAATCAATAAAGGAGACTAAAAGTTAGTGACTAGTAAGATGGAAAGAAAACCAAGAGATGGTGATACCCTGGAAATGCAGTGAAGAACCATATACTAGTAGTAGGAAGAAGAAGAGGGGAATATCTGTCAGCTGTTGCTGATAGGCTAAATAAGAGGAAAGCTGAGATTGGATTTAGCTGTGCACAGGTTATTAGTGACCTTGATGAGCAATTTTGGTAAGTGGGTTCAAGAAAGAATTGAATGAGTGAAAACAAAGTCTTTTGAAGAATTTTGTTGTACATGGAGAAGTGGGGCGGGGGGGGAATCAAGTGAAGAGTTTCTTTAAGATAGAAGAAATAATGACGTGTTTGTTTGGAAATCATCCAACAAATAGTAGGGGGAAATGATGTGGGAAAGGAGAGAATTGATAGAGCTGTGGATTTGAGTTGGAGAGGGGATGGGATCTGGTAGATGAGTACATGTGCTGTAGCGTCTGATGATGTTTTCATGTGGCTTTAGTTTTCTATTTAAAAAAATTATCAGTAGAGAATAGGAAAGTTGAAATATTGTCTTTAATTTTTGATACCAGCATTTGAGGGATCTTTGGTGACTCACTAAAATAACTTTTAAAAATATTTTTTTATTGATTTTGAGAGAAAGAGAAACATCGATGTGAGAGCCAAACATCTATCGGCTGCATGGGAATCAAGCATGAAACCTGGGCATCTCCCCTGTCTGGGAATCAAACCAGCAACCTTTTAGTACATGGGATGATGCCCAACCAACTGACCCACACTGGCCAGAGCTAAAATGACTTCTATTGTGCCTTCTGAGGGAGTTTTAAACTTAACCCAGCAAATTTGCATATTTTAAGGATTAAACCTTACATTATGAGATTAAATAATCATGCATGCCTGTGGCACAACATTTGGTATCATGTAGACACTCAAGAAATGATAGCTATCATTAGAGAACGTAGAATCTATATGTACTGAATGCACTAAACTAGGCTTACTTTATCTATTTGGTCCCAAAAGATAATCTTATAATTTTAAATGTTTGGTAAGTTAGAATTTGACAGTAGTAAAATAAATATGCTAAATTTAAATCAATAGATCCTTTGGCATCTCTCCAAATGTTCCTTCTACTTTACAGTGTGGTCTCTCTTCGTGACTTAGTGATATTACTGGCTCCAGTGATCAGGGGGAAGTATTGATCAGAGGGTCCCAAGATGAATGCTTGTTCTTATGTGGTCATTATTTTATCATTTTGCTATGTTAATTTCTTTGTATAGTGCAAATAAATTATTTTTGTGTATAGTATCCTCCTATAGATTACCTCCGGAAGGTAGGTAATAACACTTGTACATGTCTAAGAAAATGACTCAAGTAATAGATTGTATGTAGATGGTATTCAGTAACTTCTGATTACTAAATCAAGGTTTCATAATCCTGTGATTAAACTTAGATATTCAGTTCTAAATTTAAGCCTTGCTCCAATTCAGGACTAAAACCCTTCCACTGCTCTGGAAAATTCTGGAGCCAAATTTTGTTATTGTGCTAAATGGTTGTTAATTAGAATACTTCCAAATGTAGCTATCCCAAATAAATTCCAGAGGGAGGTAGTAGTCAAATTTCACAGTTAAGCACATAATAATAGAAGCACAATTGGCACACACAGCTGTTGAAATGCCGTAAAAACTGGTGTTATGATAATTAAAAGAAGTTATTAGAGAATAATACTCAGCTAATTATAGCATATTGAAAATCAAAGTAAGATAGATTGACTTTGTGTAACTATGAGAAAATAGCCTTAGTTACTTTCACTGGCTGTATCAAGAAAGTAATGATTGAAGTCAAAGAAATGATACTCTTAGCTAATACTAGAGAATCTAGTTGTGACCAAGAACTGTTTGGGAAGGGCAAGCTGAAACAGCCATTTCATTCTGTAGTAGCCAATGTAATTATTAAGAGAAGTGAGAGAACTACTTCTTTTATAAGCAGCAACTATGAGGCTTTAATCGGGTTGCTACTAAAGAAAAAGTTTAAAGGGGCTATATTTAAATTCAGGAAGTAACATTTAGCTATTCATGCAAAAGACTGAGAAATTCTAAATCTATTCAAATCTGGATTTCCATCACATTTATAAAAGTTATTTCCAAAGCATCAGAACAACCATCAGATATATGGGAAATATTGAAAAGGTAATTTTTTTTATTTTTTTTATTTTTTTATGCCCCCCCCGCCCCCCCTTTCTGAAAAAGTAATTTTAAAAAATCTGTCCTGTGTTGAAACTTTGTTTGTTTTCTTTGTATCATAGGTCCAGTTGTGTACGTCTTGGACCTTGC